CTTTCTTTATTTATTTTGTAAGACCTCGCCACTGTAAATTTGTCCTATCAATAGATGTATATATGTTTTGTCTGTCACATCTCAGGATTAATAGTACTGTAAATTTTTGGGGTGTGACAGAAATGTTGTTCTGATTGTAGGTGCAGTGCATTCCTAGAGGCAAGGTTAGGAAGGTGTTGTAGACAGCAGGTGATGGTTGGTGGGTTTGCTTTCCTTATCAAACAATAAATATTGCAAGTGCAATGTATTCCTAGAGGCAAGGTTAGGGAGGTGTCGTAGACCGCAGGTGATGGTTGGTGGGTTTGCTTTCCTCATCAAACAATAAATTAGTTAAAATGAAGATCTTGGAGTTCTTTTTCATATTTTCCTCGAGAGTGTAACTACACTCTCATATCTCTCTCCAGATCTTTCTGTAAGGACTTGTTTCAGAGATACAGTGAGAATTTATAGTTAGTCACTTCCACCTTGATTGGCGGGTTTTGTTACTCTACAAAGCAAAAGGACCAAATCTTTAACAGTGATTTTTCCAATAGAAGGGCTTCCACTCTTTCACTTCTGGTGCTCTCCATTGGACAGTAGGGTAAGGATACCATCTATTCCCATGAATTTGTTTAACCTCGACCTTTCGGTATTATAGGTTGTCCAGGGTAGAGGTGGATATTTCCCATTTTGAATCTAATTCCTAACGGAAGAGTGTCACTCTTATCCCGCTTTTGCTCCATCTTTCTTGGTGTTCCAGATTTCTAGGTATACAAGGTTGAGGGATATGTAGCTAACTCAGAGATGGGTTCAGTGGTACCAAGAAAATGTGTTTCCCTTCTCCAAAGGTTCCCAAGGTCTAGTCAATTTCATTGGAAGGGTTTGGTAAAAGCTATAGAAATATGATGACACTTTGGAGAGAAAGGGTATGAATTGCAATTAAGTATTTAAGATTCTTCTGGGAAGATATAATGTATTGAGATACATTAATTCTTCCTACTTAAGCGTGTAGATTACAAGCATACTAATAACCAATATTATCAGGACTGGACTGCCATCGACCTAGTGGAGGCACTGTTTCTCTATTGGATGAGATGTTCACCAATCAGAACCATGAAATTTAATAAAAATAAAAAAGGAAGAATACAAATATGTAAAGAAAAAAATGGAGAAAAGGGAAACACAAAAAAATTGAATCAATAGAATAATTTCCATAGTTCAAATAAATTATTTCAATAATTGAACCAAAACAATCGATTATTTATATCAGTATCAAATTATCAATATAAAGAAAAACTCAAAATACTAAAAATTTCCATGGTTCAACATATTCCATAGATGCATTTCCCATAATTCCATAAAAATGCACTAATGCTAGTTATGGAACATTCCATATTTCAGCATTTCCCATTATTCCATTGAAGTATTAAACAACCAAAAAATATCTCAATCCAAAATTACCTCAATCAATGATCTCTTCCACAGTGTAAATTACTTGCAAAAAATTACCTCAATCAGTGATACTGTCCATCAAAGCAAATTACTCGAACCAACAGTTTTCATGAGATTCCACTCTTCCATAGACCTTCTCACTCTCTCAGCATCACTCCATCTCCCAGCCCCTGCATAAATGTTAGAGAGAAGCACATAGTCCCCTCCAAACTCTTCCCCTAACTCCACCACCCTCTCCATAACACGCTCCGCCAAACCAACTGCACCATGAACACAACAAGCTCCAAGTAAAGTCCTCCAAACCACCACATTACCTCCAAACCACCACATTACCATCTAATAATGAGTTCTCTCTTTCTAACATCTTCTCGGCTTCCTCTAATAAACCAGCTCTCCCTAACATATCGATCATGCATCCATAGTGCTTGACACCTGGTACAATCCCATAGTCCTCTACCATAGCCCTGAAATACTCCTGACCTTCTTTTACAAGCCCTGCAGGGCTACAAGCATGCAGCAACCCGAGAAATGCGATCCCATTTGCGCTCACTCCCATCCCCTCCATCTCTCTGAAAACCCGAATTGCCTCTTTGGCATGGCCATGCATTGCATATGCCGATATCATGCAGGCCCATGAAACCAAGCTTTTTTCTTGGATTTTATCGAACACTTTTCCCATGTTTGCTATGCTCCCACATTTTACATACATGTCAATGAGCGCGTTGCTCACTGGCACAATGAATGAAAACCCATCTTTCGGGCAAAGGCATGGATAGAGTCCCCAATATGGGAAGCACCGAGACCATGTTGCAGGGCTAGGAGAATACTGAGTATAGTGATCTCATTGGGTTTGTCCTCATTCTCCTCCATTAGCATAAAGCGGAAAAAAGCAAAGGCCTATCTTGTTCTGTTGTTTGTGATATACCCATCAATCAACGCGCTCCAAGAAACCACACTCCGTTTCATCATCTCATCGAACAGCTTGCGGGCATCATCGCTCTTGTCATGCTTTCCATAACTAGTGATCATGGCATTGCATATGACGACATTCTTCTTTGGCATTTCATTGAAGACTTTGCGAGCATCATATAGGCACCCAGTCTTATCTGATAAATACAACAAGGAGAGAAGTATGTACATAAATTTGGGAATGGAACCCAGTCTTAATAATGTGGCAATGGATCTCCCCCCCTTTATCTCTCAGGGAGGGATCTGTGCATGCCTTTAGAAGAAATGAATACGTGAAGCCATCCCTGTGGGGCAACTTAAATCTTGCATTTGTTTATATATAATAAGAGCTGCTTGTGGGGTGTTGCTCCTTGCATAGGCTCCGAGCAAAGAGTTCCTAATTATTGCATCTAATCTCGACTCCGAAATGCTCATAATCAACTATGAATGGACTTGTCTAATTTGATCTGTACTGAGACACCCATTCAAGAGAGAGAAGAGCCCTTCTCTCTCCGAACCTGGAATTTCAGTATGGACCGACTCCTGGTTTCTCCATTTCGAAGCCGAGTAGTGAAAGATGGATTTAGTTACCCAAGTGTTGAGGATTGAGAGTTGTAAAATGGACTTACCCCTTGAATAAGAATGTAGTTTTTGCAATCCCTTGCATATCATCAGTTTGTATGATGTTCGTCCCTCTACTTAGCTTCTCGATAATTCAATCAGCCACTCATCTCAATCTGACTGCACCCATGAGGCTTTAGAACCCCCATCTCCACCATCATTTTTCTCACCCTCTCAACATCATCCCACCTGTGAGCCTCTGCATATACATTGGACAATAGCACATAATCCCCATGCTTTAGAGGCTCCAATCTACCCAAATTTTCCAGAGCGACCTCTGCCAATTCCACATTCCCATGAGTCTTAGATGCACCCAACAAAGTCCTCCATATAATAGTATTGGCCTCAAATGGCATTCTATTAATAACATCATGGGCCTCTTCTAAGAGGCCCGATCTACTAAGGAGATCAACCATGCAACCATAGTGCTTGATCCCAGGCTCTATCTTATACTTCTCTATCATATTACGAAAATATTCGCAACCCTCATCAACAAGCCCACTATAACTGCAAGCCGTTAAAACCGCCAAGAAGGTCACACTGTCAGGTTTGGTTCCGCTCGACTGCATTCTCGAAAACAATTCGATTGCCTCATTGCAATGCCCATGAACTGCAAAACCCACAATCATTGCATTCCATGAAGTCACATGCTTCATTCTCATCCTCTCAAACGTTAAACTTGCTGCCTTCAAGTTCCCACATTTTGCATACATATCTACCAGAGCATTGCCCATTATACCCTCAGCCTCAAAACCCACATTTTTCTCAATGTATTCGTGTAATTTTTTACCCATCTCCATGGCTCCAAGTTTAGCACAAGCTCCAACAAGTGTGATCAATGTAATATCAGTTGGACTCACATTAGCACCCTGCATTTTATCAAAGAGTTCCAAGGCCCGACTGTACGATTTCTTCTTGATATAGCCAGCTATAATGGCATTCCAAGAAGCCGCATCTCTTTCAGGCATTTCTTCAAACACCATTTCAGCAGCCTTGATATCGCCAGAGTCAACATGTGCCGCGATCATGGTGTTCCATGAGACGACATTTCTTATTGGCATCTCTTTGAGCAACCCATTCGCTGATTCAATATTCTTTTGCCTATAGTAGGCCATGACCATGGTATTCCAAGAGACTATGTTTTTCTGGGTCATTCTGTTAAATACCAATCGAGCAACCTCAATGCTACCAGATATCGAATACATGGAAATAAGAGAATTCTGAACAAACGGATCCAATTCTAGACCAGTTTGTATAATTGTGCAATGAGCTTCTGCCCCTTTATGGAGAGGAACAAGTTTGTGCCCTTCTTCGATGCTCCTCGACACCCTAGCACAAGCCTTAAGCACGAAAGGGAAGGTAAAGCTATCGGCCTTAACATTTCCAGAACGCATTCTGTTATAGAGAAGAATGGCTTCAATTGGAAAGATGCTATTGGCGTAAGCTCTGATCATGTTGTTCCATACAAATGGGGCAGGTTTTGCTAGCTCCTCAAAGACCAGGACTGCATAGTTTAGGTTTCCTGAAACAGAGACAACACAAAAGCTCACCATTCTACAAGCGACAGAGCTGCATTCTTTGAGCCCAGTCTTTGTGATTAGAGCATGAACTTGATCCATTTCTTTAATACAAGAAACCCCTTCAAGAAGCGATACAATCTTCTTCTCCATTGAAGAAATGCATGAAACGCATCTTTGGTTTGTTACAAGAGACTGTAAGGCTGAAGGAAAAGTCTGCAGCATGCGAGTAAGATATAAGGAAGATCCGTTCCTCAAATGCTTTGCATGGATACTAAGAAAGGTAATAGAGGCATCAAAACGTTGGTTTACTAATCATACATTCATGGTTCAGCATCCCATCTATTCCAATACTTAAAGCCTAGGCTGTAGGCTCTAAACAATCAAATTAGAGCCTACCTTCAAATAGTGTCGAGAAATGTAGTTTCAATACTGGAAATTATTGTGATAGCTTTAAAATATATTTTCATATTTATTTATAAAGTTTAAAGCTTCAAAAATAGTGTAGATCGATAGATCTATGAAAACTTGAATGGATTGTTTTTGGGTAATTATCGCTAATATACCTATATTTTAATAAAATCGGAAAAAAAAAAAGTTTCCAAAACCTTGCCTACATCCTTTTTCCCAATTTTCGGCTTTTTTTTGGATGAAAATAACCTTTACAGTAATCTTTTTACCATAAAGAACATTACGGTAATTTAAATACCGTAATAAGTTGCGGTAATTAAATTACCATAATACTACTTTAAGGTATTACGGCATTTTAATTACCGTAATAACATTACAGTAATTTAAATACCGTAATAAGTTGAAAGAGTAATACAGTAATTAAAATACCATAATACCTTAAAGTAGTATTACAGTAATTTAATTACCGTAATATTACCCAAGCCTCCAGACAAAAGATTTTCTACTCTCTCAGGTTTCTACTATCTATTTACTCCCTCTACAAAAATCCATGCTAGTTATATTTTTTAAATCTGAAATTTTTAAGATATAATCTTTACTTAATTTTTATATGGTTCTCAAAATTTTAGAACAAAAACACTTTTAAATAGGTGTTTTTGAGCAAAGGAGTAGATCCACATCGTGCTCCCATGCAAACATAGATTTTTGAGAAATACAGCTCTCTGCAACACTCTCTCTCTGTGGATACCGTAAAGCACTGAGTGAAGACCACAGCAAAAAAATCACAGCCTCTATGCACCAGTAGCAATATCAGGTATCTATAGGAACAAAAGAAACAAACTCATGAAATCACTTGATCCACTCTGAAATCTCTCTCTCTAAATAACCCAACTAATGTTTTTAGAGGACTTGAATTACAAAGGACTTCATATTATACCCTTTTTGCTTTTTTCTCTTTTTGATTGTCCTAGTATTGATGTTTTCATGATTACCCCATCCGAAAGTGCTCTTTGGTTAATTGAAAGGTATAAGAATAAGGAAAAAGAGAGAGAAGAAAAAAAAGGCATACTCTTTCAATCATTTGACTATGAAATCAGTTGATCCCAGTTGAGATTTAACATGAACATTGTATGTTGCACAATCATGTTGTAGTCTGAACTGCATCACAACAAGAAGCCGTTGGGTTATATTAGTTGAAGTTTGATGCCAAACATGCATGAGGGAACAAAGACATCCCTTAAAATCTGTAGCAATTACAAACTTAGAACCACGGTCAAAATACTCAGTCAGTCCCTGCCTGAGCAGAATCGTCCAAGCAGTATACAGGTCTTAAAAAAAACAAATAGTAAAAAAAAGGAAAAATTCAAAGAAATGTAAACCTGTTTGCTGCCATCTGTTGGAAGCATATGCTATTTTAATTAAGAATGTAAACCTGTCATTGGAATTGCAAATGGCTAAAACTTGCCTACCTATATCTCTGCAGCCAAATGTTAGTTCTGATGAGAACACATGGAGATCCCAACACTCCCCAATTTCGAAATTCTCTCAGTGATTTTCTTCAAGATGGTAATCTCGACAACTTCTCAAATCAGAATAGGTTATAAGGTTTTGTGACATGGGAAAGTACACTCTTATCCATTTTCCATTGGGATCATCCGCATCCAATGAAATGACGGGTGGTGATGGATTTAGAGTAACCCATCCGAACAGGGCGTGACCAATTGTGGGTTCCATTCTCTCTCCATCACTGTTATCATTTCCATGGATCATGATGAGTTGGAATCTCTCCATCACTGTTATCATTTCCATGGATCATGATGAGTTGGAATATAGTGTACTTTTGTGCTTTCTTTTAATTGGCAACTGGAATTTATTTTTATATAAAAGAAAATACTTATAAAAATGGTCCTTAAACCTCATGTAGAAACGAACCTTGGATACAAATGTAGGGTATAGAATGGAGATACCAGCAAATAAGGAAGGGGAGACAAATAGAACATGTCTCATATTCCCTCCCTGGCTTATGAATCTATTAGGCAATTGTGCTTCTTTCCAAGTATGCACAAGATCATACTCATAAATTTTTACAACATTTCGCTTTCCACTCATTCTACTCAAAGGAACTTGGTTTCATGATTTACCTTGCAGAGAAGATACCAGACGACACCTCATCCTCCAAAAGCACAGACCTACTATCAGTTTTTGTGAACAATGGCAAAGGCGTATCCTCACTAATCCTTTGCAAATGTTGAAAATGTGCCTCCCGTTTTGCCTCTTGAAAAGATTGACAACGCCTCTGCTGTGGCACCCTTTGCAAATCTTCATATAACTGATGCCCCTCTTGAACTGTTAAAGCCAGGCATACCCCCGCGAGTTCTCACCTGTGAAGACCTTGAACAGTCGATCTTGGCTGAGGTGAAGGAAACCAATAGTGACTTTACCTTTGATCTAATATCTGAGCAAAAACCAGCTGATGTTGACAATACAGCTTCTCAGGGTCTCCTTTCTTTTTTGCAAAAGGGTATGGGCCAGGGGTTGCCAACTGACCCAGAAATGGGGTCGTCTAAAACCCTTGTTTCTGAGATGCAAAGCCCCAGCGGGATCGGTGTTGAAAGTGATCGTAGCTCCGAGAAAACTCTAACTCTGAAAACACTGTTTGGTACAGCATTTATGAAGGAGCTGCACTCTGTAGAGGCCCCAGTCTCTTTGCAAAAGAGCTTAGGAGGTGGGTTACCACCATTCCCAATTAAAGATGATGGATTTGGCCATACTTCGTTTGGTGAACCTGGATCTAGTTCTCCAGTGGCCACCCACACTCAGAATGTAAACCCGATAAAATCTATGGAATTTGGGTTGATGTCTCGAGGTTGAAGGTTCAAAGGGCCTCAGTCGCGCCTCAAGTTTTATAACATTAAAATTATGTGGATGTAACGGTCTATTCGCCAAAACAAATTCGAAATTTTTATTATATATATATATATATAGCTTTAAAACAAATTTTTCATTGGAAAACCTTTTTTTTTTTTTTTTAGAAAGTTTTTTTCTCAACTTTTAATAATATGAGTAGAATTTCTTACGAGACCCTCTCACACCCATGTGTAGAATTTCAGATGATCATCATTAAATTTTGTACAGATTTTTAAAAAGATTATCACATGAGTGTGGGATTTGACTTTTCTAGATATTTGTGTCAAATTTAATGATAATCCTTTGAAGTCCTACACACATGAGTGTGGGATGATATCATAAAATTATTACTATATATATATATATATATATATATATGTCTT